CACCAAGGTACTTTAGGAATTAAATTTGTTTGGACAGCAACAACAAAAAAGGGGGGTGGGGGGTAATAATTAAATATGTTTTGGGGGGAGTCTATAATGAAATATGTGTTAAGGGGAGGTTATAATAAAATATGTGTTGGGGGAAAAATAATTAAATATGTGTTAGTGGGAGGTTATATCCTTTGTTACATGTGACTTGTACATGATTGTTTTTATCCTATCTAGAACTGTGAGCCGTTTTTAAAAACAAAGTTAAGAAAAAAAATTAAAATAGAAAAATAGAAAAAGGGGAGGGGGGGGGGGCTGCAATGTAAATGTTCATGATATATTGAATGATAAGATGAGAATTTTAAATAACACATTTGAAAGAGAATGGGAAAGTCGACAAATTAATTCAAAGACATTATGTTTGTGTTAAAAAAATATCACACTTGCACATTTAAATTTGATTACACATGCCAATGAGAAGCACACATAATGTCGAGAGACTAATAACTCAATGATTTGCTTAACACAGAGACACGAAGTCTTGTTCAACCGTTATCTTTATCGTTATGAAGTGGTTCAACCCAGATCTTTATCGTTATGAAGTGGCGGTCGACTCGTCAACGAGATTAATCGTGTGATAACAACATTGTAACTCATAAGGTTAGATCATAGCAAATGAACAGAATCAGATCACATGAACTAATCCTGTAGCCATTTTCCTATGAATATCATCTGCAGGTACGGTTACAGTTTCTTTCAAGCAAAATGAAAATGAAATAAGTATCACACAAAATAAAAAAAAAATGATATATTGACGTACAGAAGGAGTTTAAAAAAATATGCGTTGAGAAAGAAATTCACGTCAATGGCAGAAATAATGTATACACATTGTTTCATCTTTGAACCTCAGCTGATTTTCATGTCTTTTTTTTCTCTCTGGAAAGGCCAAAAAGATTCATGTGATATATACAAAAACACAAAAAAAAACCCACCAAAAAACAATGACAAATAATCCAAATCCTCTCGAATTTCTTCGTCTCATATTAAGCTAGTGTTGCATATGTTAAATGAGATGTTAAAATGTTTCACCGGAAACGACTCGGTGAACACCCAACACCGCAACCAGCGAGGTGCCAGGCGTTCATCCGTTACAACGGCAGAGGGCCCATGTGCTAGCCATTACAATAGCCTGCCCAGTGAGCTAGCCATTACAATAGCCCGGCCAGTGTGCTAGCCGTTACAATAGCCAGGCCAGTGTGCTAATAATTACAATCAGCAGAGGCCCATTGTGCCAACAATAATTATAATAGCAGAGGGCCTGTTAGCTCACATCCAGGCTTTACTGTGTTGGCTCGCCAGTGTGCACGCATCCAGGCTTTACTATGTTGGCTCGCGCTTTGTATTAGCAAGTGTTCAAGGTACATGAAAGTTTTAGAATTAATATTTAAAGACAAACAAATGGTGGTAAAAGAAAATAGTGAATCAAAGCGATGAAATTATACCTTAAAAGCTCAAAAAGATATAATTTTTTGTTACATATACATGTATGCATACACGAGTGGTGTGAATTGTACTTGAATAAGAGCACGTGTATATAAAAGAAGAGCTTTTATCCCTCGGCTTTCAGAACTTGACCCCCACGCAGTTCTAAATATTTTTCATATATATGAAAGAAGTATCAGGAATCCTTTCAACCATTGTTGCCAGTCGTCTGTAAGTTTCCGGACAGTCAGTAAAGATTTTACATAAAAATAGCTTGCCATTATACATTTTAGGATTTCAGTAAAGGAAACAGAAACTGTCCCCAAGACTCCTTAAATAATTCCGTAAAAAAATTGTTTTCCGAAAAAAAGTTTTGAATCTTTAAAATATGTCTTCCGAAAATTTTCATTCATTAAGTTGACAGCCCTGCTTTTAACTGAATCTCAGCCAGCATAAGAACAACCTATGTAACATAAAATATACACCATTATATTTCAGTTTGACAATGACCAAATCCCATTTGAAACACGAGTAGGAAGTGGTGTTTTTTACAATTTAGTATCAGTTACGCAGTACGGAAATCTGAAACTGTTTGAAAATAAACGACTATCACTGAATTTTTTTTGTTTGAATACATCGGACAAGACACAAACAGCTAATTTCAATGAATTTAAGTCAAGGGCATGCATATGATGTTCCATCTTCAAAGATAGACGTAGGCGAAACAAGGAGCAATAGGGGATGATATTTTCCTATCTTGATCTCTAGCATCATGATGACGTGTCGACTTCTTCTGTCAAAACCAGCAAGACACAAAAATCGACACAAGCCGAGCGGTGTAATGACGCCATTTGTCAAAGTGTGAGATTTCTCGGGGGCAAAGGCAAACAGCCATTTTTGGGTATTCCGGGGGGGGGGGG